CTAATGGAAAACTCAAAGGAAGAGAAATCGAAGGAATCCCATTCATAACAGCCACAAAAATCAAATATTTATAAATAAATGTAACCACAGTAAGGAAAAGATCTCTACAACAAAAATTATCAAACATTGATGAAAGAAATGATTTCTTTCATGGATTGGATTAAATCATAGGTTGAAAGATTCAATATCATTAAAATGTCCATACCTAAAGCAATCTACAGACTGACTGCAATCCCTAGCAAAACAGCAATAACATTCTTTACAGAAATAAAAAAAAATCAATTCTACAATTCATATGTAATCATAGAAGACCCAGAATCACTTAAGCAACCCTAAACAAGAAAAACCAAGCTGAAGGCATCACAAGACTTGACTTCAAAGCATAATAAAGGGCTATGAATATAAAAACTGCATGGAATGATACATAGATCAATAGGACAGAATAAAGAGCACAAAAATTAGTCCACATACATAGAACCAACATATTTTTGACAGAAGTGCTCAGACTTTACAGTGGAGTAAGATAATCTCTTCAACAAATGGTGCTGGCAAAACTGTATGTGTGTACATACACATATAAATATATACACATACCTACTCATACATATATACATATATATATCCATACTTCTCACCATATACAAAAATCAACTCAAGATGGACCAAAGATTTAAATTTATATTTTTTGGACAGAGTTAGACAGTGAGAGAGAGAGAGAGACAGAGAGAAAGGTCTTCCATCCATTGGTTCACCCCCCAATTGGCCGCTATGGCCAGTGCACTGCGCCTATCTGAAGCCAGGAGCCAGGTGCTTCCTCCTAGTCTCCCTTGCGGGTGCAGGGCCCAAGCACTTGGGCCATCCTCCACTGCCTTCCCGGGCCACAGCAGAGAGCTGGACTGGAAGAGGAGCAACCAGGACAGAATCTGGCGCCCCAACTGAGACTAGAACCTGGGGTGCTGGTGCCGCAAGCGGAGGATTAGCCTAGTGAGCTGCAGCACTGGCCTCAAAGATTTAAATTTAAGACTTGATCTTATGAAGTTGTTGGAAGAAAACATAGTGGAAACCCTCCAACTCACTGGTGTAGGGGTTGACTTCTTGGATAAGACCCCCAAAGCACAAGCAACAAAAGCAAAACAAAACAAATAGGATTATATTAAATTCAAGAGTTTTTGCACAGCAAAGGAAATGATCAATAGAGTGAAGAGACATCCAACAAAATGGGAAAATATGTGCAAACCACCCATCCAACAAAGGATTAATATCCTGAATATATCAGTAACAAAAAACTCAACAACAAAAAAACAACCAATGCAGATGAGAAATGGGCAAAGCACGTCATTAGACAGTTCTCAAAAGAAGAAATACAAATAGCCAACAAATATATGAAAAAATGCTTAACATCACTAGTCATGGGGAAAATGCAAATCAGAACCACAGTAAGATATCATCTCACCTCTGACAGGATGGCTAAAATCCAAAACATGGAGAATGATTAATTCTGGCGAGGATGTGGACAAAAGGAAACACTTATACACTGCCAGTGGAATGTAAATTAGTGTAGCTACTATGCAAAACAGTGTGGAGATGTAAAAAAAAAAAAAAAAAACTAGAAATAGTCTTGCCATATGATCCAGCAATCCCACTATTGTTTATATGCCCCAAAGACTTGAATACAATTAATCCAAGAGGCATCTGCACTACCATGTTTATAGCAGCACGGTTCACAATAGCCAAAATTTGGAATCAACCAAAGGTGTTTATCAGAAGAATAGATAATGTGGAATATAAATACAATGGAATATTATTCAGCTATAAAAAGAACGAAATTCTACCATTTGCAGCAAAATGGATACAAATGGAGAACATCATGTTGAGTGAAATAATCCAGACCCAGAAAGACAAACATCACATGTTCTCCTTTATATGTGGGAGCTAAAGTTTTAAAAGCAAACAAAAAAAGAAGGAGATCTCTGATTGTATCAGCATTTCTGCAAATATAGTTTAGTAAACCTTTGTTGTATATCTCTGTCAAACCAATGGTTAAGAATGCTATGCTACTATAGTGTTAATGATCTGTGGTTACTTTAAAATTTACTATATATGAGTAAAATGGTCATTTTGCATTTAATTACTCTTTATAGCTGTTGTCTGTATTCCTAATGAACCCTAGGGTCTTTTTGCTTTTTATTTGTTAAACTTTTTATTTAGTGAAGCATTAAGTTTTTTTACTGTAATGTAAATTTAAAATATGTTATCTGAAAAACAAAAAAAAAAAGAAAGGGAGAAGGAAGGAGGGCAGGAGGGAGGGGGAGGAAGAGAAATATCATTATGTTCTTAGATATATATCTAAAATCACTGATTCTATTAAAAACAAAGAAAAAAATTTAAATAAAAAATTTTAAAAATCATTATGATTCAACTTTAGGAATGTATCGTTGTACTTCCTTCTACTTTCCAATGCTCATGTTGCAAAGTCCTATGATATTCTTATTTGAACCCTCTATATAGGGAATATACTATTCATTTTTCTAGAATATTTAGGATGGTACCCTTACCCCAGTGTGAAATTTCACAATGATATGCCTTAATGTGAGTCAACCATTTTGACCTCTTACAACCCAGGGATTTGTAACTTTCCATATTAGGAACTTCTTTACATTCCTTCTTGGATGGTACTCCTCCTTTATGTTCTGTTTTGTCTTATATCAACACTTGGCAGTTTGCAATTCAAATTTCTATACTGACTGTTTATCTCCCTCCAACTCTTTGCTTTCTTTCATCCTAGACATTTTACTAATATCAAGTGATTCACAGTTATCCACTGATATAATACTAAAGGACTAACAAGTGTATTGGCTTGCATTTGAATAGTGGCATGTTGTCTGATGAGCTATATAGCAAGAATATCAAACATTTAGCTTTTATATTGTTGAACCTTAAATTTTATTATTTGTTAGACATTTTGTCTTTAGCAAAAAATGGCCCAATTTCTTGCCTGGGCACTGGTGGGGAAGGGTGATAAAAGCTGACCAGCTAGTATGCAGAAGCTCACGGAAGAAGGAAACTGAGAGTCTCATAATCCCATAAACTGACTTTCCTGTGATCATTCTAACTTTGGTCTTGCCTTTCTTCTATACCCACTCCTGCCTAGTATCTGAAGAGCACAACCCTGCCAATTCTGCATTTCCAGAGAATAAACAGCCAGACTCCTACACAAATAGGAAATGGTAGGAACCTGACTTTGCAGAGTGAAAGATAAGCAACTGGAGAAGATGGGCATGATTCTTTACCCAGACTTTAAAAAGTTCTTGTTTTGTATCCCCTTCTACCAACACAACCACAACCTTTCATACTTCTTTTTGCAGTATGTGCTGTCTTTCTGGACTTATCCAGAAAAATCAGTTTGTTTCTCTTCAGCATCCACAAATTTAATCCTGCCAACATGTAGGCATAATCCTGTTTCACAACATACTTTACCATATCGACATTCACTTTCTAAATCCATATACTGTAATTGAAGTTTCAGATGGCTCCTGATTTACTTAAAGCTAAGCATATCGTGCTCATTGGAAATGATTCTTTAAAGGGCTCATTGAAACATATTTTGTGATAATGTTTTATTCCCTCTTGTTTGCCTTCATGGTTTGGAAGTAATTTTAGAATAAATGTGGGTGAATAAATATTTTTCCTTCATTTTCTTAAAATTGTTGACTCATCCTGCTACTTAAAAATTGCAAGTAAGCAAGGAGGTTACTTGCTTACTCTACAAGACTATCTTGTAATCCAGCTGGAAATCCATTTAAATTGGAATTCAAAGTAGAATCCTCTACGGATAAGTGAAATAATTTGCCTTTTATGTGATAGAATTCTACATCATTTCAAAGCAACATTTCTTCAAAGTTTACGAAATAGTTTTTTAATGAGAACCGACCATTACGATACTCTACTAATGCCCAGGTCCTATTTAGAGTTAAATTGTTCACTGTACACAGGTGACTTCTTCAAAGGGCTTAATTCCTATGGTATATCTGAATATTTTAAAACAATTTGTGCAGCATAATATATGCAAAAGACTGATAATTAAAGATCACATTTTTACAAAAATTTTGTGATATATGAAAGTAAAATGTTTTAAGGAAGTAATTCTTGTAATTTATACAAAGTCTCTATAAAGCATCATGGTAGTCCTAAGTAAAACTACTTGGACAGTCAAATTCATCTTTAAGTGTTTTGATAGGGATATAATTGCCAAAGTATGACCTATGCAACAGGAAGAGAAATTTAACTCTAAGTATCTTCTAAAATAACACCAATTATAAAACCAATAAATGCAATTGGTGTCCAAATGTCTTATTCTGCTACACATATTCCTTTAGAGAAAGGGTTTTATTTTAAGAATAAATCATGTCCTTGTCAAGCTTTGTATCTTTGGCACTTAGATTATGAATGAAAAAGAAAACTGAATAGTTTGTTGAGTCTCTAATTGCTTTTCAGAGATTTGTCACATTTCTAGATCTTCTGAGATCCAGAAGCCTATTACCAATGTCTTCTAAAATTTTAATAGCTCCTTTCTATGACTGTAGAACAGTTATGTATATCTTAATCATTAAGATTAGTTAATTCATTCAGTTATCTTTTCATTTATATATTAGCACGTAAAAAAGTGCAAACCTATACTTCTGGATCTTATTCCTGCCACATCCTTCCTTGCTTTGCTGACATCCAACATGATTTTGGAACATCATCATTGGGTTGTGCTATGACTGAGAACAGATATTTGCATACACTGCTTTAGTCCTTAAGTGCACTAACTGGTCATAAATAAAAGATGACCTCAAACGATCCACAGTAACTAATGCCAAACAAACTTCAACATTGATATAAGTAACTTACCCACCCAATAATCTCACAACCTACTGAAATAAAAAAAGCAACACATGAGAAAAGAAACACGATGTAAATTTCATCTGAATAGAAAGGTTATTTACATATTCCCTTACCTCTTGTTTGCAGCCCCTTTCCACACGCTTCACTGGTGCCTGTTATACCCTGTCTGACAGACGCTGGCACTAAGATGCAGGGGCTCCATTTCTGTGGCTTCCATCTATGATCATAAACAACAGAGAAACAGAATTTCACCATAACAAACACACAAAGGAAACACTTGAAATGGATGAATTTAAAAATTCAAAACATAAATATAGTAACTCCTTATAAATAGACTTGAAACCAATGTAATAAAATTAAACTTTGGTAAGCAGTAAGGAAGACAGAAATCTATTCCCCCTGGAGAGAGAGAGGGAGAGTCTCAGTCTCTTTCTCTCTCTCTCTCTCTCTCTCTCTCATGCACACACATGCATACACACACAACACTAAAACAGTAAGGGGATTTAGTTCTATGCTTCAACTATGACACTGAAATTTCTCTTTTTTTGTTTGTTTGTTTGACAGAGTTATACAGTGAGAGAGAGACAGAGAGAAAAGTCTTCCTTCCATTGGTTCACCCCTGAAATGGCCGCTACGGCTGGCCGGTGCACTGTGCCGATCCGAAACCAGGAGTCAGGTGTTTCTTCCTGGTCTCCCACGCGGATGCAGGCACCCAAGCACTTGGGCCATCCTCCACTGCCTTCCCGGGCTACAGTAGAGAGCTGGACTGGAAGAGGAGCAACCGGGACTAGAACCCAGCGCCCATATGGATGCCGGCGCCATAGGCGGAGGATTAGCCAAGTGAGCCATGGTGCCAGCCCCCCTCCCTTTTTTTAAAGCATTGATTTATTTATTTGAAAGACAGAGTTGGAGAGAGAGAGAGAGAGAGAGAGAGAGAGAGAGAGAGAGATCTTCCACTGTTAGTTCACACCTCAAATAGTTTTAATGGTCAGGGGAGGGACAGGCTGAAACCAAGATCCTGGAACTCCATATGGGACTCCCACATGGGTGGCAGGAGCCCACATACTTGGTTCATCTCCAGTTGCTGTCCCAGGTGCATTAGCGGGGAACTGGATCAGAAGCACAGCAGCCAGGACTTAAACAGACACTCAAATGGGATGTCAGCACTGCAGGCAGTGACTTAATCTGCAGAGCCACAAAGCTATCCCCATTCAGATTTCTTAAATGGAGGTTACATAAGCTTGCATGGCAAATTAAGACAAAATAATTAAACTTCTTTAGCTTGCTACCTAGACTGGAAAGAAAGGAAGGAATTTCTAAACTCCCTTATTAAGTTCTCAGTTTGGGGCTGAGAAAGCTGGCTTTAGAGAGGTTAAATGATATGTTGGAAACTGTATAGGTCAGGACAGGCCAGCTGTGTGTCTGAAGACTCTGGATGCTAAGCTCTGGACTCTGGGGTGCCCTTATTGCCAACTCTATACAGGGAAAATTGTTCCCACGGCATCATCCCTTTAACTTACTAATGTGATGCCTTGGGAGATACTTGACCTTACTGCTTAAAATTCAAAAAAGTTTTACTAAGAAAGAGAGGGTGTTTTTATTTGTTTTCTTTTTACTTGTTAACATTCTCATTTGATGAAGCATTGAGCCTTTTTTTTTTACTATAATGTGAATTTAAAATATATTATCTCAAAAACTAAGAAAGAAAGGGAGAAGGAAGGAGAGGGGAAGGGAAGAAGGCAGCATCACATTTTTAGAATTCTATCTATAAACTATGTTGAATCTGTTAAAAACTCACTAAAAACTTAAAAACCAAAAATAGTAATAATAAATAAGTAAGATTGACCATGCTGCCAACTTGGACCCATTTTAAACTAACATATCTCCTGCCATCGGATCAGTGCGGTGCACCGGCCGCAGCGCACCGGCCGCGGCAGCCATTGGAGGGTGAACCAATGGCAAAAGGAAGACCTTTTTCTCTGTCTCTCTCTCTCACTGTCCACTCTGCCTGTCAAAAAAAAAAAAAAAAAAAAAAAAAAAAAACAAACAAGCAAAAACAAAAAAAGAAATATGAAACAATGATACAATTCTTACAAAGTGGATCTGATTTCTAGGGAAAGTGGCAGGGGGTCAATAATGGAAATTAGCTCCAGCCTGCATGGATAAATTACCATATAACATGAGAGAACAAAGAGTGGCCAAGGGAATAGAAGAGGCCTTGCAGGGTTTCTGAGATTTTATCTAATGATAATAGCCCTGGCATCAGAAAAATGTCTCCTAATATTTGATTTGGCTAATTTTTCACTTAGTTACTTTCCTTGAGAGCTCTTTGGCTAGTTCAGAAGCTTCAATATTTATACACAGCACCAAAGGATGAATACTGACAGTGTTTCCACACTGGCCCTGCGGTTAATGAAGAAAAACAGGTAGTCTGGGCATGTTCCCAGTGTTTATTTACAAATTAGTCATCAGATAGAAACAATGGGAATAAAGAATGATAAAATCAATAGTAATCTAGACTTCTCCAATGGTACCCTTAAATTTTACCTAAAAGGAAGGGTCTTCTTTAAAAAACAGAAGAGCATACATTGTCCTGAAAGAATTAGCCCCCAAATCACACAGCTTTAAGGTACAGTTTTTCAAATAATCAGGAGAAACACTAGACATTTTTGCTAAAGGCAGTTTTGTGTATGCCAACAAAATTATTAATAATGGAATATAAACTTGTTCTTAATTATTGATCAAAGGGTTTAGCTTGGGGACAAGAGAATAAAGGCAAGCTAATTTCTGTGTATGTGTATGTATGTGTGCATTTTGTGAGTGTGTGTTCATATATGTGTACTAGGGTACTTTAAAAAGTTTGCAAAAAAATGCACATTGGAAAAATGACTTTTGTTACAAAAAATGATGCTGATATAATTGGATATCCACATGCAGAAAAAAATCAAACTAGATATCTCTTCTTGGGTATAAAAATCAACAAAAAGGGTGAAAGAGATTAAGATGTGAAACCTTGTATCCAACAAAAGAAAACACAGGAGACATTTCAGGACATTAGAACTGGCAACAATTTTTATGATCTGACTGAAAAAGCACAGGGACACAAAAGCAAAATAGACAAATAGGTTCTCATCAAACAGTTTCTGTATAGCGAAGGAAACAATCCACAGAATGAAAAGACAACCTACAGAATGGTAGCAAATGTTTGCAAGTTATACATTTGACAAGGCCTTAATAACCAGAATATATAAGAAACTCAAACATCAATAGGAAATAAATAAATAATTCAATTAAAATAGGCAGCATACTTAAACAGACATTTCTCAAAGAAAAACACGAATGGGCAACAGGTATATGAAAAGATGCTCACTAATCATCAGGAAAATGCAAATAAAAACAATGAGATATTCCCTAACTCCACGTAGATTAGCTATCATCAAACAAAAAAGGTTAACAAACTCTGTTGAGGATATGGAGAAAATAGAAATTTTCCACACTATCAGAAGGAATACAAATTATGATAACATTGTACAAAACAGTAAGGAGATTCCTCCAAAACTGAACGAAGAACTACCACATGATTTGGGAACCCCACTACTGGGTATATATTCAAGGAAAATTAATCAGTCTGTAACAGCGGTATCTGCATCTTAATGTTAATTGCAGACTCTTTCATGAGAGCTGGGAAACAGAAACAACTTAAGTTTCCACCAACTGATGAACTGATGAAGCAAATGTCTTATAAATACACAATGAAATAAAAGGGTGAAATCTTGTCAACTGCAGCAACATGAATGAGACTGGGGGTCATCATGTTAAGTGAAATAAGCCAAAAACATAAAAACAAGTATCATATGATCTCACTAGTATGTGGCGTCTAAAACAACAGGTGATCTTAACTGCTGAGGTGAAGTGTAGAATGGTGCTTACAGAAGCTGGGGAGAATGGGGGAGAGATGAAGTGTGGGATGGGGCAAGGTGAGTAATGACTACTAAGTTATAGTTACATAGGAGTAAGTCATTGTGGTGGTCTATTACAAACTAAGGTAACTGCAAATAATAGTAACGTACTCAGTATTTCTCGAAAAAAGTCAAACTAGAAGTTTGAATGTTTTCACAATAAAGGAATGTTAAATATTTGATGAAAGAGACATAGTTACTGTGATTGGAAAACACATAATACAAACATGTATAGAAACATAACAAGATATCCCATAAACATGTGTAATTTTTACATGTTTATTAAAGATAATTTTTAAAAAATGTTTGTGAAAAAATAAATTAAAAGGGGCCAGCATTGTGGCATAATGGGTTAAGTCACCTCCTACAGGGCTGACATTCCATAACCAGCACTGGTTTCAAATCCTGACTGTTCCACTTCCAATCTAGGCTCCTTGCTAATGTGCTTGGGAAAGCTGCATAAGATGGCTTAAGTCCTTGGGTCCCCGCACCCACATAGGAGACCTAGATGAAGCTCCTGGCTACTTATTTAAGGCTGGCCAAATTGCAGCCATTTAGGGAGTAAACCAGAAGATGGAAGATCTCTTTTTCTATCCCCCCCCAACTCTTTCAAATAAATAAAATATTCTTTAAAAATGAATTAAAAGATAAGCTTATTTAGGTGCAAGAAAAGTTTCTCATAATGAATATTCACCATGAACTTTTATATATACATATCATATGTATACATATTTTCAAAAACTTTTTGCACCAAAATAATATTTTTAAAAGGTTTATTTATTTGACTGTCAGAGCTACACAGAGAGAAGAGAGGCAGAGAGAGAGAGAGAGAGGGAGAGAGAGAGGTCTTCCATTTGCTGGTTCACTCCTCTGTTGACCACAATGGCCAGAGCTGCGCTATCTGAAGCTAGGAGCCAGGAGCTTCTTCCAGCTCTTCCATGCAGGTGCAGGGGCCCAAGGACTCTAGCCATCTTCAGTGCTTTGCCAGGCCATAGCAGAGAGCTGGATCAGAAGTGGAGCAACCAGGACTCAAACGGGTGCCCAAATGGGATGCTGGTATTGCAGGTGGCAGCTTTACCTGCTACGCCACAGCACCAGCTCCATAATCTTATTTTTTAATTTACTATTTTTACAAACATTTTGAAGTACCCATATGTATGTTTATTTATAAAATTCCCATCCCTAACTGGTAAAGACTTCATCCTGAATCTCTTTGGATCATGATTATGAATGTTGACTGCCTGGGTGGCAGAAGTCCAGCAGCTCACTTACAGTGGAATTTGTTTGTTTACTTTCTCTATTAATTAGACTTTCATATCCTTTACTCCTTTTTAAAAACATTAAAGTTACCTGGAGAAAAACGCTGATGCATTAGAATATATGCGATGTGAAATCTTATTACTTTTCACTTAACAAACATATCTCAAATGAAGGAAAGTAGGGTATTACTTATAATAAGGTCTAATGACAATTTTAAAAATAACTAATTACCTATATATAGGGCACAAAGAGACATCTTCACACTCTCTCTCTTCAAACAAGGTATCTGGGCACTCTTGGCCTCCATTGGCTGCTTCTTGGATGATAATTCTGTATCGAGACTGTTTTATTGTAGCATTTCCTGAAGTAAAAGAAAAATGTTGATGCAGATCAAAATTTAGAAAACAATTGCAAAAATGAGAGGTAAAGTAAGTACACGTAGAAGACAACCTGAGGAATGAGTACAAGAGGAGGAAGGAGCAGGACTTAATGGTCAACTTCACTTTTGTGAGACAGACACACTGAATCCATTAATGGTGATTCCAAATATATATGTTCTAATATGCAAAGATCATTTCTTACTGTCTAATGTGTTTAAATGGATTAGAAACTACATTTTCAATGGCATGATCCAATGGCCCCAAATTCCCTCTTTAACCTCCAAACAATAGCTGAGGACCCTTGAGTTTTATTATTAGCAATCCATTTGCTTGAGTATGGCATTTCTCTGTAGGATACCTAATTATTTTAAAACTCTTATTTATTTATTTAAAAGTTGGAGATACAGAGAAAGAGAGAGACAGACATGGAGAAACAGAGACAGACAGAATGTTTCTATCCACTGGTTCACTTACCAAAGGTCTGCAACAGCCTTGATTGGGCCAAGCTGAAGCCAAAGGTTGTACTCAATTCATGTCTCCCATATGGGTACCAGGGGCCTAATTACATGAGGCATTATTTGCTGCCTTCCAAGAACTGCACTGGTGGGAAACTGGAGTCCAGAGTCAGAGCCAGGAATTTAAACAAGGCATTCTGATGTGGGATGGAGGTACCTGAACTACTAGTCCAAAAGCCTGTTCCACAGACTTCTTTTTGTACCTATTTATTTATGGCTATTGTCTACAAGATTCATTATATCACAAAACATTATAACCAACATCCATGTAACTGGAATTTATGGAAGGGGCACTAAAGTTAGAAAAGAATAAATTCTTTTTTACTTCATGGTTTGGTTGGGGAATAGAAGTATTGATTGGCATCTCAATAAAAAGGGCAATGGATGTTCACTTTAATTTGCTGAAGCATTCATTTCACAATCTACAGATGACTTTTTAATCAAAAATGGCATTAAAATCCATTATTATCAATTACTGTTAAGCAACTATTTCAAATACTATATGCAAGATATACTGAATACTCATTATACAGACAAAATATCTAATCTACAGAACTAATGATTAAGCAGGATTGGTGTAGATACCTATACAATTATTTATAAGATATTGTAAAGTGTGGGTAGTCCATGAAGAAGTATTTGTTCTATACAGAATAAATAAAATTCATTTTTCCTCTCTGGAAACCATAGGTATCCCATGGAGGAGGAAGATTTATTCTGGATCTTGGAGTCAGAATACTATATGTTTATATATGATATATGCTGAAATTATTTCAGAAAACTTTGAGGAGGAGTTTGAGAAAAGGCACTGAGCCACAAGAGCACAAAGAATTAACACAGAAAGACACGTCATGAAGAGTTGCATGCACACACATGGGGATGCTAGGGCAGGAAACAGCAGTTATAGAGAAGGGAAAGCACAGGAGAAAATGGAATCCATTAGTATAATTGTTGACAGGTAATGGACCTAACTATATGTTAAGAGATTTTTAGAAGGCCAGTAACCAAATGAGAAAAAAACAAAGAATATAAAGGAGGATTTGTTGAAATAATATATGTATATTTTAATCATTAATTAATACAAGATAATTTACAATGAGAAGTAAATGACCCACAACCCAACTCTCCTACTTCTTGTCTTCCTCCCCAGATAGAACATTTAGAACTGTTTTCTGGATTTAGTTCTTTTGTGGTTAGCTTCCCATCTATAAATAATATGCTTATGTTATTACTTCTTGATTAGTGAAATTTAGACAATATTTACTGACATTTTGCTATAATTGAAGAGAAATTAGCATGTACTATATTTTATTTTTTTATAATTGCATGGCTATTTTATGCCTCTATGGATTACTTAAAGCATTTAAATAGCCTATTTTTTTCCAGCACGTAGTCCTCACTTTGTCTTTTATCACATGAGCCATGCTGACTCTTCAGAGTCCTCTTGGGTAGATGAGTTTTCTTCTACCACCACCACTTTAGTTAGTGACAATGAATTAGCTTTCTCAACTTCCTATTCTATCATTTTGAATTAAAATTTAAAAAGCAAGAGAGACCAACACGTTTATACCTTTCATAACCTTGACCTGGAAGTGAAGGAGATGCACTGAATCTTTTCCATTTGCTCCCTGGATCCTCCTTTTGTACTTCTTTAACCTGCTCTGTACTCAGGGAACTAGCCAGTGATGGGCTGCGTCTGCAGGCAGTTTTTCCCATGGGCATTTGATTAAGTTTGGTCAACAGGGGGATGGAGCACACAACAATAGCAAAAAGTGTAGTGAAGTGGTCATGGTATTTGTTGGCTCCCTAGCTCTATCAAAGCTGTGGGCCTGATGCTTGCCCACAGCTATTTACTTGATAAATAATTATGCCTTTTATAATAAATATCTTCTCTCCAATTAATTCCAAATACAAGTTACTCTAAAAATTACTGGTTATCTTAGAATGTACACACAAACATGGGTTTACGTGTCTACATGTTTTGTCCAAATATGATCTTAGGAGACTGTAAGTAAACATGGAAGGAGCCGGTGTTGTGGCATAGTGGGTAAAGGCGCTGCCTGCAGTGCTGGCATCCCATACAAGGGTTGGTTTGAGTCCAGCTGCTCCACTTCTGATCCAGCTCTCTGCTATGATCTGGGAAAGCAGTGGAAGATGGCCCAAGTGCTTGGGCCCCTGCAGCCACATGGGAGACCCAGAAGAAGATCCTGGTTCCTAGTTTCAAATAGGCACAGCTCCAGCTGTTGCAGCCATCTGGGGAGTGAAACAGTGGACGGAAGACCTCTCTCTCTCTCTCCCCACCCCCTCTTTCTGCCTCTCTTTAACTCTGCCTTTCAAATAAATAAATCTTCAAAAAACAAAAATTGAAGACAACAGAAAAAATAAAAGAAATGCTTTCATCTCATATTGAAAGAGAAACTCGCAAAGGGAATAGGCCTAGAGCATGGTTCTGTGCTTCTCCTCTGTACACACACACACATGCACTTGCGCGTGTGCACACACACACACACACACACACAGGGCTACTATTTTAGTGTGAGTCCAGGTCAAACAATTCCTAGTTTAAGAAAAATTGTTGCACCAATTTTCATGACCTTCCTATGCTCAGGCACAGGTTGGGAAGGATGGACTGTATAGTAACAACAGACGTTTAGAATAAAGATAAGATTTTCCAGAGAGGAAATGATTATCACTGCACAGAAATGAAGAAAAATGTATCTGTCTTTAGAGAGAATTAAGTGAAGATCTTGAGATAGGGAAAAAACACTAGAATGTGTGAGCCAGCTATTAAGAGATGTGTATGTGTGTGTGTGTGTGTATGCTTCTTCCTTCCTTGAACTGTAGTATGGTCATATGCACTTTCAAAGGACGTTTAATCTCCCTACAATTTACATACCTCAAATTATGGTAAAATCTGTGGCAAAATTTGTCAGGCACATTGGATTTGATGCAGGTGAGCAGAGGCAAACTCAAAGGCAAGCAGTGTGTACACACCAGGTGTGTGTACTTCCTTCACCACTACTTTGATGCCAGCATGAAGGTAGAGGTTTTGTACTGAGGGGAGGAAAAATAATCCCATATATCTAAAGAGGAATTAATGACAAAAGAGCTAGATGCCTGAGGCAGCTCCCATATCATAGCTTGAACCAGGCAAGAGAAGGTGAGCAAAAGGCCAAGTGGAGACTCAGGCTATCAAACAAAACCTCCCTTTACCAATGGATAAACACCAGAAAATGATTTCTGGAAAGTAAATGGAGGGAGAGGAAAAACCTATTTGGATTACATTTGTGCAAAACATATGAACATTCGAGGAATTATCACTTTAATTTATGTGATGGTCCCTTCAGAATATTTTATGTGCTATCCTACCTTATTATTATAACACCTTATAAAGTTGGTATTATTATTATTATTCCCATTTTACAGACAATAAAATGTAAAGAAGAAGAAGTAAATAATTTGTCCGATGCGAGCCAGTCAGGATTACAACCCTGACTGACCCCTTAGGTGAAGAGAAAGGGTGGGGAATTCCAGGGGGAGGAAAATACAGCACAGTTCCTCTGTTGTTCTAAAGGGATCCTCTTCCTTTCTAAGCAATTTGTGGATAGCACCCTTTTGCAGATGGCTTCAGTGTCAATAAAACCACACTCTTTGTAGCACTTTGTAAATGATGTCTGTAACTTCATTAGGTCTATGGAAATTAACAATAAACTAAACTGCTTGTTTGCAAACATAAATAATTGCTAAAGTATCATTATGACTAATAAACAACTACTTTAAATTCAGTTTTTATCTAGGCATATTTTTTCATCACTAAGTCATCAGGCATAATTAAACATAGTTATTAATTACAGTTAGAAGAAGTAGCATTTAGAAGAGATATTGATTTAAAGATCAAGATCTATATTTAACATAGAAAATATATGAGTAGGTTGTAAATATTGTAGGATATGTGTAGTTTCTTTGTGAAAGTCTTTATTTATCTTACATAAAAGATTATAGTGGGGTTGGTGTTGTGGTACACCACTTGCTACCATTTCAAGGCACTGGTTCAAGTCCCACCTGCTCTGCCTCTGACTCAGCTTCTTGCTAATGTGCCTGGGAAGGCAGTGGAAGATGAGCCAAGTGTTTGTGTCCCTGTTCTCTATGTGAGAGAGCAGAATGGAATTCCTGGTTGCTGACTTTGGCCTGATCAGACCTGAATGTTGAAGCCCCTGGGAAAGGAAATGGTGGATACAAAATTGATGGATGGATCTCTCTCTCTCTCTGTGTGTGTGTGTGTGTGTGTGTGTGTCTTTCTGACTCTTTTCTCTCTCTTTGTGTTACCCTGCCTTTCAAATAAATAAATAAATCTTTTACTTTTTTAAAAAAGAAAGGTGGTAGCAAAGGTGAAAAATAAGTACACCAACAGTACTTGTGTGTGATTTGCAGTAAACAGTAGCTCATCACACTGAATTGAGTGTCAG